CACCCCCGCGGGGAAACAGGAAGCCCCAGGGCCAGGAGGCAGCAGTGCCTGAAGGGTGGGGGCCTCTGAACATCTGCTGACTCCATTTCCTGTTTGTACCCCCCGGGGGTTGGTGCAAAGGTGATTAGAATGACCCTGACCTTTCCAGTCCTCCACCCCACCCCATTCTTAGGCAGATCCCAGCCCTGTCTGAGTCCAAGTTACAAGCGTGACCATCTCTACCCAACTACACAGCCTAAGTAATTTACTTGCATTCACTCTACCTCACCCCTTTCTATTCCCCACGTTACCATTTTTTCAAATTGTGCTTTTCATTATGCTACTTAAAACAATGTTACAGCTTTCATTGCTTTGGCTAAAGACATAATCTTTGCATTGTCCCAAGTCCAATCCTTGCAGTCTGGTCCACGTCTGTTTGTAGTCTCATGGTCCGCCATCCTGCCCTCTCCCTCCACACTCAACATCTTCCTACTATGGGGGCTTTGCACAGGCAGCTTTTCTCCTTGGTAGCTCCCATGCCACATACGCATTGTTTACTCCCTTGTTTTCTTGCACACTTTCCAGATCCCAGCTTAATTGTGACTCTCTGGAAAGCATTCTCTGAGCTGTGAAATTGGGAAGTCTTTGGAAGGTGTATTTTTAAAATTAATTAGTTAATTTTTGGTGAGGAAGATTGGCCCTAAGCTAACATCTGTGCCAATCTTCCTCTATTTTGTATGTGGGTCACCACCACAGCATGCCTTGATGAGTGGTATGTAGGTCCACTCCCAGGATCCAAACCTGTGAACCTTGTGCCACCGAAGCAGAGTGTGCGAAGTTAACCGCTATGCCACTGGGCCAGTGCATAGTCTTCTTTATGTAAACACAGATTAACAGGAGAAAAACATTTAATTTCATACGTATGGGAGCCCCATAAAAATATGAGGTTCAAAGAAGTGACCAAAGCAGGAAGCTTTTATACCTTTTAGACAAACAAACAATAAATTTGTGAAGAATTGACAAAACAAAGGGATTTGGGCCCTGGGTAGTAAATTGGTAAAGTAGTAACAAGGTTTGTTCATACAGCCTTTTCAGCCCTAAATGCCCTGTCTCTGGTGATGTGGATGCCTTCTACCCCTCTGGTGCAAGGAGGGTACCTCTCACCTGGGAAATTTATCTCTTGCTTTCAGGGGAGCAAAGGAAGTTCAGAGCATCCTTCTTGTACTGGCTGTTTCTCAAGTACCTTTAATTCAAAATAATCAATATGCCAAAATGGCATATTTTGGGGTGACATATTCTGAACTCCTACAACAGAAACCAAATTGTTTCTTATCAAACAGAAATGTGGACGTGAACACAAAAGAAAAAAGAAGATGCATTGCATATGGTTTTTAAAGATGATATCTAGCACATGTGTTCCATAATGCTAATTCCTAATATCCTACCTGTCCTTTACAATTATCTTTGAAGATAGAATATTTCCCACTGGAAGGAAAACTGGGATTATTTTTTTCTCCTCAAAAAGTCTTTTCATTTTGCAAGATTTCAACACATAGAAATGTTACGAGTATAGTGAGCATAGTGTACTCTTCACCTGCAATGACCTGTTTTTGTTTTGCCCCATTTCTTTATCTCTCTCTGTTAATACATAGCTTTATTTTTCTTCCCTGAAAGGATAAATGCTTCAACAAAAATCCCATAAGAATAAGGGCTTGCTCCTGCATAACCACAATGCAGTTACCACATCAGGAAATTTGGCATTGATAAAATACTGTTATGTTGTCACGAATATGGAGTCCTTATACAAATTTCCCATTTTCCCAATAATGCATTTTATAGATTTTTTTTCCAGAACCAAGACCCAATATAGGATCACAAATTGCATTTAGTTGCCCTGTATTTTTAGTCTCCTTTAACCTAGAAGAGTCCTCTGCCTTACTTTATCTTTCCTAAAATTGACACTTTTGAAGAATACAAGCTACTTGTTATGGAAACTGTCCCACCATTGGGATTGTCTGATTACTTGCTCTTTAAATTCAGGTTAAGCATTTTAGGCAGGAATACTATGTGTGTGATGTCACGTCCTCCTCGGTGCATCACATGGGGTTTACATATTATTCCTAAGAATCATGTTTTCATATGGGATCATGAATGGGATTTTTTTCTCACATAGGAAATATTCTCCTTTACGTAAATAAGGTCTACACTGGAGAGGGGAAATGGCAGTGATTGGCAGAGAGGTGTCGTTTTACTGCCTCACTGTTGTAATGACAACTGAGGGCCGAGTCAAGCCTTATAGGAGAGAAGAGAGAATGTTGGCCATCTAAGGGCACCAAGAAGACGAAATCAATTACCAACATGTGCAATGGGCCATGGTTCTGCCCTGAGATTGTACTTTCTTTAGTTAATTAGTTAATGAATAACACGAATATTTACTGAGTACCTATTAATAACCAGGCACCATTATAGGAGCTGGAATACAGGAATGAACAACAGTCATTCCCCACACTGCCTTGGCTCCAGCCACTGACACTCTCTTCTGCCTCAGGGTCTTTGAAATTATTTTCCTTCTAACACATAAAAAAATCTCTCTTGATTTGCCACCAACCTTCTCTGCTACTTCAGAAAACTACTGATTTCCTAGTCTCCGCATCTCAGTAACGGAACCCCCATTTGCCCAAGAGAAAACTCAGAAATCCTCAGAAGCATCTTTGAATTCTCTCATTCCTTAACCCCAACCAGTCAGTCCAATAGCAAGCACTGTGGGCGTTAGTTGGAATTATGTCTCTGCATTCCCAACACCCTTTTCCTACAGACCCCGTGCTTCTGTCTCTTCCTCCTCAGTGCCCCCCTTTACGACCACAGAAGTGTAATGGGAAAAGTCCCTGTTCACGTCAGTCCTGGCAAGCAGAACACAGTTGATTCTTGTCAATCTCATTGCTACGAACAGAGTCAATCAGCAAAGAAGATAAATAGAGTGAATAGCAATCAAGTGACTTTGCTGCCAGATCACTTAGGAAATCACTGAAAACAGTGTCAACTGATTGAGAAAGAAGCTCTGGTGCCAGATTGCTTTTCTTTGAAGTGTAAAGAGGAGAAGAAGATAATTCTTCAGATCACCTATTCTAGGAAATTCAATCAATGCAGAACAATTCTCTCTTTCAGTCAGTTTCATCAGGATTCTTTTTCCCCACGATGTAATTCTGTATTCTAACCCATATTGTAAACAATGGGATTAACCAGTGCAACAGGGAGCCCATGACAAATAAGGTAAGTTCTGTGTTAGAGAACATCGATATTGCCATAAGGAGAATGTTGGCAGAAACATGAAATTTAAAGGTGCTTATGGTGAGGGCCCAGAAGCAGATGAGCCACACATTATTTGAAACTAGAAGAAAGATGATTCTTGTCATATAGTGGGAGAACACGTAACTGAATTGTGTTTTAAAGTTGTGTGGAAAGCAGAACTTGTAAGTGATGAACTTGGATATTTAGCTGACATTTCCAAGCGAAGCATTGAAGGTGAGGCCTGGTTCCTTCTTGCTGCTTGTAGTAAAATGTAAGAGGAAGGAGATACATCGAGGGAAGAACCATTAAACAAAAACTACCAAGATTTGTTGAACTGAGAGATCCTCAGCCTATCCGCCTTGCCAAAAAAATTTAAATTAGGAGATTCACTGCTAGAGAGTTTGCGCTGGAGGGAAGACCAGGGTGGTGACAGCACCACATTTCACTAGTGCTGATGTCATCAGGGGTCACTGGCACCGGCAAATTTGAAATCAGCAGAACTAATTGCATTAGGTTTCAAGGCCTGGGAGTGTTCCTCTGTGGCTGGAGACTCTGCCCTCTCGGTTCATATAGTTTGTTTTTTCTGGAATTACTCACAGTTAATATACTGTGGTAACTGAAATTTGAACCGCTAGGAGACTTGTGTTATTTAACTAATCACGGTAGCTGAATTTTTGCATATAGGAACCATGCAAATCATGAGCTGCCTGTGAGTATGCGTGTGTGTGTGTGTTTCTGGTCTAACCATTCCTCACCCTATCCCTGGCCTTCAGCACGTCACTCCAGTCATATAAGTAGCTCCTTATACACAGAAGCCTTTCTCAATTAAGATGTTCTTTTTATTCCATTGTGTTTAGACATTATGCTCAATGGGTTTTTTTTGATGAATCACCAAAATTTCATAAAAGCAATGTTTTATAATTGTCCCAAAGGAAAAATGTTTTAATGCTTATTTTGCTTAAAAGAAGTATCTCCTGGGGCTGGCCCGGTGGGGCAGCCATTAAGTTCGCACGTTCTGCTTCTCAGCGGCCCAGGGTTCGCTGGTTCGGATCCGGGATGGGGACATGGCACTGCTTGGCATGCCATGCTGTGGTAGGCGTCCTACATGTAAAGTAGAAGAAGATGGGCACGGATGTTAGCTCAGGGCCAGGCTTCCTCAGCAAAAAGAGGAGGACTGGCAGTAGTTAGCTCAGGGCTAATCTTCTTCAAAAAAACAAATAATAAAATTAAATT